GAAGAAGAAGGTGGCAGTTGCCTGGTTCAGTCCACGCTGCTCACAGACGAGGTCCCACTGAAACACAAGTCCAAAATGACACTTAGTGCCCAGTTCAGCTTCTGTCTCCATTCCCACCCTTTCCCTCCAGTGATAGCTATCTCCTGTTCCAATTCATATTAGCCAAATCTGTTTGAGATGTAGGACTGTGCATGGAGCTGCAGATAGGGCAGTGCCAGAGTCCTGAAAAATGTAAAATGTCAACCTACAAAGCTCAGAGGCTTCCAGCTGTTAAGCCCCACTGTGACAACCTCTCTGTGGACACTTGCTGGGCATCAGAAAGCTTCCCTGGGTACCCCTCCATCATGAAGAGATCCCTTTTTCCTCTCCTGACCGCTGTGATAGCTGTTCTCAACCTGTCTTGTTGCATTTCTCTGCTAGCTTCTCCATCAAACTCCTGATGCTTTGGGGACAGACCTGGCCAGATGGGCATCTGCAGGGTGCCACACTGCAGTGACCTCAGGATGTAATGGGATGCAAGGAAATGGTCTCAAGTTGCACCAGGGGAAGTTTAGATTGGACACTAAGAGTTTCTTCATGGAGAAGATGTTCAGGTATTATAACAGGCTGCCCAGGGCAGTGATGGAGTCCCTATCCTGGAGGTATTTTAAGAGATGTGTGGATGTGGCACTAACAAACATGGTCTAGTGATGGGACTCCGTAGGTTGTGCTGATGTTTGGACTTGATGATCTTGAAGGTCTTTTCCAACCTAGATCATTCTATGATTCCATGTGTGCTGATATCCAGTTACTGTTGCCCTGACCAATTTCCTCAAAGTTGTCTGTGTAGGGTAGAAAGAAGGCAGAGGAGGAGTTGGACTCAACACTAGCTCCTGAGGCTAACTTACTGATTTCTTATGAAAAGAGTGGTCTAGGCATTCTTTTTAACTCGGTTAATGAGCATCATTTTACTTTCTTGGAGGTGCAAATGTCGCTAATCATTACAGAATGTTGTGGCCAAGCTGCAGAGTTAATTTTCCATATGAGTGTAACTTGATAAAACTAAACTTAATCATCAACCCAGCCTTGAAGTGTCTCTGACGGGGCTGGCCAGACCTTGAGCAACCTTTCTGGCTGCAAGCACAAGACTCCAGAGGAGGCCGTGGCCCTTTGAACATGGCCCGAGGCCACTGCACCTTGAATGTGGTGTCACGAGGCTCCGAGCCCAGCACCTCTGCTGCAGAGCACCTCTCCTGCCTTTTCCTCCAAGGGTGCTTTACACCTTTCTCCCTGAAACGGTGTAGAAATCAGATGCAGACCTGGTGCCTGCTAAAACTGGAGGTGGTGGGTGGTAGGGAGGAGGCATTGGCTCTAGGTTAGGATCCTTCCATCTGACCAAATGTCCCCTTCCCTCAGATCTACCATGCTTTGTGTTGCCTTTCAAGGAAAGAAAACCACAGCCTGCAAGTAAAGTATTAACACCCAGAGGTATCACTGTCAGCCCTAGCAGAGCATTTGAAAAGGCTGGTGGTTAATGTTTGATGGGCAGGGACCTTGGGCAGGCTCAAGGTTATGCCTGGCCAGAGTGCTGCACCTCAGCAGGAGGCCCTTTGAGAGCACATTTCTTGGCTGATGGCGAGACACACTGCTGGCAGTTGGACTGATGGACTCCTAAACCTGTGAAACGTTTTCCAGGGGGATAAGGACACTGTGAGTCAACAGCTTTTCAGAAGGGGTGATGCAGCAAAGCCCTCACTCTGATGTTTCCCCAGGTGGCACTGATGGGGACGATGGGCACCTGCTACCAGGATTCCCTGCCTTCCCATCGAGGCCAGTTTCATCCAACCTTTTGCCATGGGATCTCCACTCTGTGGCTGCTGAACCCCCTCTGCTGGCATGAGGATGGAGCTGGTACTGGACTGGGTGATGTCCTCAGTGTCTCCAGGGGGCTTATCCCTGGTCTGCTGAGTACCTGCTGTGAGCTGATCACCATCTTGCTCCTGAAGTCCTTGCCTTGCCACAAACCCTACTTCTTTTGGGCTCTGATCTGGGACAGTCTTGAATTTTGTTCCCCATATCCTATGTTATGTGCACCTGGCCCATCCATCCCTACCAGCCCCATGCCTGCTGGCTGCCTCATCCCCAGGGTGCCCCACGAGCTCAAGCACTTTTCAGTCAGTGGCTGCGTGGCATGGTGAGCAAATGCCCTCTTCTGCCTCATTTCTCCCTCTGTCCTGCTCATCTTCTCAGCTAGGCTACATGCTCAAAAAATGTGAAATACCAAATCTATGCCAAGGGGGCAGAGATAAGACAAGGGGGGATAGTAAGAGAGGCGGTATGATCTCTGGGAGAAGAGGGGGAAGCAGGAGATCAGGGAGGAGAGGCAGACAGAGGAAGAGAAGTAATGAAGTTTTAGGAGAATCAAGAAAGTAAGTCATGGGCTAAGATGAAATCCTTATAGTTGTAATCTTGTCCAAATTCCACATGGCTCAAGCAGAGAAAATCTGATGTGTGTCTCCTCCCCACAGCACCACTCTCTCAATCACCCAGAGAAATCAAGATGCTCGTTATGAGAAATGTTGATGACTAACTGCACTTCAGAGAGATTCCCCATCCCAGGTCATCTTCACTAAACAAGTAACTTCCACTGGTTAAAATGCAAAGATTCCCCTTTGACTCTGTGCACCTAACATCTCTCCATCTGGTTCTCAAAGCTGATTTCATTTTCATCTAGATTACAGACCAGGGGTTACCTGGGTGGAGATGGTGGAGGTGAACTGTGAGTGGTCATAGACCCATCCATGCTGGCAGTTCTGGATGATGGAGTCGTTTTCTGGTTGCAGAGAAGAATTGAGCAGGAGGTGAAACTGAGGCTGTGAGAACATCTCACAGGACCTGAAGGTGCCATCAGGCTCCCGGGGGATGCTGATGAGCAGAATTTCCTCCATGGTGAGGTTCACAAAGGCCTCTTGGTGTGGAATTGCACAGTGATGAGAGGGGGTAGCAGCAAGAAAGCTGTGCAGCAGAAAATGCATGGGAAGGTTGATTCTTGCGAGGCATAGTACAAACAAAATCAAAATCTGGAATCTGCCAAAGCCACCAATTTCCAGCAAGAGATCTTCAAATTTCATCTTTTCTATGGAGTTTGCTCATTCAGAGCAGCTATGTACCAAGGAGCAGCAACATGAGCTTGAGAAGCGGTCTCTGTCTTTGGAGCTCAGCTTCCCATGGCTTTTCATACAGCCACTCCCTTGGACTTTGAGACCTCACTGAAAGGTTGTCAAAAGTCACAGTAAAACTGTCCATTTGGGGTAGAGCCAACAAAATCATCCCGTGTGCACACAGCACATCCATTTCAAGTGGACCCAGCACAAGGCACATTCTCTTTTTAGAGCCCTTTCTTCCCGTTGTGGTTTTTGAGAGGGAGATCCACATTAGGAGAGGAGGCTGTGGGAATAGCCACAATTTATGGTTTGGGGGTGCCACACACTGCCTGCCTCTCAGGCACTGCAATAAGCTCTGCCTCGTGAGCCGATCACCAGCTGGCCCAGCTGGGCATGAAATATGTCCCCAGGAGACCAGGGGTGACTCACTGTGTCTGTGGGCACTGCACCCTGCTTGCTGTGCATCAGCTGTGTGTTTTTAGCATGGCTTGTCTCAAGTCATGACCTCATGGGAGCAGGGAGTTTGGAGAGGTGAGAGGATATCCAGAAGAGATGAAAGATGGGTCTCCAGATAGAGACCAATTGGATGGGAACCAGTGCAACAGCCCAAAAGCGAGGGACCTACAGCCCGTGACAGGACCAGAGGTACTGCTGCCACCTCCACACGAGCCTTGTACCACGTTTCTTTCATCACCACCAGAAGTAGGTTTCTTGAAGAGATGGGTCTTTAATTTGAATTTTCCACTCCTCATACATTCTTAACCAGGAACAGGGGCTCTTTACTCAGCCAGAGGTGACTTTTTTTTTTTTCTTTTAGAATTGTAGAAACAATGCCTAGAAAATGCAGCAACTGTGAAGATGCAGTAACAGCTGGCACAGCTTGCTTCACACACACAACATGGTTCATGAGCCAGAAACAAATTCTTCCATGGCCAGCAGAGACCTGGATGGAGGATCACCGGCACTTGAAGACAAGATAGATGCAGCTCCCTGCCCCACTACTGAGCAGGCTTTGGAAAAGGGGTGTGATCAGGACAGGTTAAACTGGGATCAGTGGGAGAGGGGGCTTTACCCTGACTCTCTCTTGAGGAGCCTGCAGGACCCTTCCCTCAAAGTTTATAAGGCAAAGGACACCACGCTGTGACCTGAGGAGATCTTTGGTTGTCTCAGCAGCATTCCTGGCCATCCATGTTTAACTAACATGCTGACCCAGTCTTTGCCACAAAGCGTTTCAGTGCTTATCCTGGGGTGAGCGTGGGGGAAGCAAGCAGGAATGGAGCCGGGGCACCCAACAGCACCGTCCCTCCAGAGTTACAGTTTAAGCTGAAGGAACTAAAGGGCAAATTGTTTTTCTTCACCACTGGTCTTCCAAGAGCAAGGAACAGGAACTCTCGCCGATATGCTCTTGCATATTTAAACTACGAAGCAGGCATAGGCTCCTCGTCAGAAATGAGGCTACAGTTCATTGCGCTGCAACTCCTGGGGCTCTCCTATTCATTGTTCAATTGCTAAAAACATACATTATTTTACTGCTGTTCTTCTCTAACACAAACACGTTCATTTAACCAGTCACCAGATACAGTTAATGATCACCATGTGTACAAATGCCATGGCTATGCTCTACCACTTGGTTGATTAGACCCAGGACCTGCCTGAAATGGCTTGGACCTGCCTGGCAGCAGTGAGAACAGGCTGACTGCTCACGTAAGAACCTGGAAAGAAGAGTTGACATTTTACCTCACATCTCTCTCTCTATATTTTATTTTTCCAGCAGTCTTTCTTCTCCTTTTTAGAAGGCCAACTATGGGTAGAGAAGGAAGATTTTTAAATAGCCCAGTCATTAATGATTTTTGTTTGTTTGTTTGTTTGTTTTTCAATTGCTGCATAATAACTGGATATCTGAACAATTGTTGTGGGTTGGTATTTAAATGGTATTTTTCTCCTATGGGAAAGCTGCAGATTCTGAAGTGCTGCCTCTCCCCTAAAGTTATGCCTCAGTGCCTTGAAAATACATGACACATGCAAGACTGCAAGAGCAAGGTAGTGCTTCCACCAGAGGCAATGACCTAGACTCCTCTCAGCCTCAGAGGGCAGAGGTGTCCCCATCTGACTGCAGCTCATTGAAGGACTTCCACATCTTCTGCCATGTGTGACCATGGGTCCAGTCCACATTCAGCGCTTGCTTCCTGCCTGTTCCCCAGTCAGACCCAGCAGAGATGCTTTGTGACCCTTCCCGCAGGCATTTAGTGTAACTGTTGTCTTTGTGCTCTCATCTCACCAGTGCTGTTGAGAAACCATAGCAGGGCAGAAATTCAGCCTGAATTACTAGGCTGGGTTTTAAGAAAGAAGGATGAACCCGATCTATTCCTTCAAGTAGGGAAAGACACAAGAAGAAAGGGAAATCCACTGCCATTTGCAGAGGACAATCTTATGTGAAGTAACACATTGCCATGGGCTCAAGATAAATACCTACCGGTTCAGAAAGCAGGACAAGAAGGGGATGAGCCAGGAGCCAAGGGGATCCCAGCACTGGCCATGTCCTCACCAACAGGGCACAGTCCCCTAGGGTCTCAGCACAGCCAGCAGGAACCTGGGTCCATTCAGCGAGCCCAGTCTGGAGCAGAAGGGTCTGGAGACAGGGCTACAAGGCAGGTCCAAGGGCCAGGGCTGGAGACAGGAGCACATGTAATGAGGCTCTGACAGGGAAGGGGGATCCAGGCTTGAGCTTAAGTGGGCTCCTGGCCCATGGGCACAGGAGATGTGGGTGGCAGATGAAGCTGTGCAGTGCAATTAAGGCACATTTGTGCTCTCATGTCCCTAATACACCGCAACTTAAATTAAATGGCAGGGTTTTACCTCAAAAAGACATGTAATGCTGCCTGGGGAGCTTGGAGCAGAATTTAGCACTGTCTGGAAAGCTACTTTTGGAAATCCTGTGCAGACAGTAAAGGTGTGGGTGTGAAAGTACATGTAGCCATACGTTTCCTTCCACTGAAGCAGGAGATGGGGTGAAGTGGCTGCTGAGAGTGATTTGTATGTGATCACAGAGTGGGTGAAGCAAGGCTTAACACCTGATGGTGTTTTTCTGCCCAGGTGGCCTTTTGCTCATCACATCCCAGTAACTCCACAGCTCTGCTCAGCCTTCTCATCTTGTCCCAGACCATTCCCAGCTGGCCGCTCCCCCAAAAGGAGTTTTTTTTTTTAAAAAGTGTCCAGGGGAGCATCCTGGACAGCAACAGACCTCCAGCAATGGGAACAACTCCAGTTTCCTGCACATTTCGTGCGTTGATATTAGTGTTCTACCAATTATCTTCCTTCCTCTTCCTTCCTACCAACTTTCTTATTTAAATCTAAGCATCCCCTAGCTCCTATCTGGGGTGACTGAGACTTCAGTTTTGATTTTTCTGCCCTGTGTTTGAGTAGGGATCCTCTTCTTTTGCAGTTTCATCAATACAGCAACAGTCGTTCTGACCCAGGCTTTGACTTCTTTAATCAATGAGAATCTCACTCCATACTCTAGCAGCAGACAGAAGTCTGGGAAAGACTGTAAGAATGAGGCAATTACCAAGTGGTACTTTTCAGATGATTTTCTTGCCTCCAGCCTAATCCTTGTTTGAGGATTCAGGCTCTGTGACAGCTCTTATTGGATGCTGTCATCCCAAACTGGATGCTCAATGTTTAGTTTTCAAATTACATCCTAGGCTTTACATTAAAATTCTAACAAAATTTTATTTTTAAATAATTTTATATGCCTGCAGACAGGTAGTATTGTGGTTTAGATGCAGTGCATGTCTTTATGTCTGTTCATCCCTGAACACAAGTTTCCGAGTTCCTAATTAATTTATTTTCACACCAATCTTCTGAGCCTTTCATTAAAACTTTGTACCCCTCGCTGGTCTGCCAGTCCATCTGTCCTGCCTGTGGCATTGACAGTACTTCAGAGAACATGGCTCTAGGGGTGTTGGTCTTTATCCTCCTGCCTAACATCCTAAATGTTGCCGCCTGCCCCTTCCTCCATAAGCCATACCCACACAGATGATAATCCCCAGCTCTTCATTCCCAGCCTCTTGCAGTGAGGCAGGTCCAACACACTCACCTCCCTGCAGAGCGTGAGCAACCGAGGAGTTGTGATGATGTAGGAAAAAATAACCTACCTTGTGGGGAGATCTTATGGCAACTCGGGACACCGTGGTTGCAGCAGGAGGGGTCGGAGAAGCAATGGGAGCCCCAGTTGCCGTACAACTGGAATGAAACCTGAGCATAACTGCAGCAAAAGCCCTTTGCCAAAAATTCAGGTAGCATTTCTGCTTCGCGTGGCAACACCAATGAACGGGAGAAGACACCGATGAAAAGGTAGACAGGCTTTTAATGGCATGATCAAGAAACCCCCTTTTAATAACAAATTTAATGACAACTGTGTCTGGTATGAACAAGAAATGGCATCATCGTTTATTTTTTTTTTCTTTTTTAAGACGTGATCTGAAGTTATGACAAATGCCGGGTGGATCTGTACACAGACAGGGCCTCTGTGATGCATGCCAGATTTTATGGCCAAGAAATTTGCCATGCAGTTGAACCGGATTGTGGTTCCTGGTCGGAGTTGTACATTCTGTTTGCAGTGTGTAAACATTCTCGAGCTGCTTTCCTAACGAATGCAAAGGAGATATGTAGAGAGATTTAGCCTCGGGACCCAGTCGCATTCCCAGACAGTACCAAGGAGCAAGAGTCCTGTCTCCAGGCCAAAAGACTTTGTCGGACTGTGTCAAGAGGTGAAGGAAAACAACATCGGTGCGCCAGCTATGATGTCTGAGTGTAGAGTCCCAGGGTAATGTGTTGAAAGGAGATATACAAAATTATCTGCGTTTCCAGCTCCAATTCCCGTCCAGAGAAGAAGCGGCCCAGGTCCCACACGACAGCAGTGTCACTGACACTGGTTTTCACACACGGACTGGATTTAGATGTGGACTCCTTGCCTAGCCCCTGTGTTCTGCAGAGTTCTTCACACCACCTGCGGATGGCAGCCCAAGAACTACCCTGGTACCCCAGCAGCCATTTACTCGAGTGCCACGTAGACAGCAGCCCCTGCCTCCCTCAGCGAACCCGTGCTCACACCTTGGTCCCTACTAGGAACCTACCCGTGGATTTGCTGTGGTAGCTCCCTTCCTGCTATCTTAACATCAGCTGCCTCTGCTGTTACCATCAGCACGGTCCCAGTCCTTCAAAGATCAGCAAGAGGCTGAGGAAGAGCAAAAAATATTTAGGGTTCTGCAGAGGACTGTGGGAGCCAGCCAGCAGGGAGTCCTTGGGCACTCACCCTGCTCTCAGTGGTTCAGACACACAAAACAAGAGGAAAGGACCTTGGAGCAGCTGGCAAATGGATGGAGTTACAGGTGGTTGCAAATGCCCAGGTGGTCCCTGTGTGCTTTGTCAAACCAGCCTAGCGCAGATAGAGCACGGGCCAGTTAAGCCAGAAGAAGCTTGTTCGAAGCCAAACTCATCAGGTCCACAAAGGGACTTGTACCGTGTTCACGGGATTAATTTAACTGCAGTTTATTGATGTGTGGAGCAAGGCCTTAGGTGGGCATCAGTGTCTGTGCACAAGGAGTAGTGGTGGGATCATGCCACGGGGCAGTAAACTATACAGGGAAGGGAGAGGTGTGCTAAGGGACCATCGAGCTACTGCTGGAGCTGGTCAGGCTGTAAGGAGATGTTTAGCCATCTTCTGACAGAGGATCTATACTGAGAAAACACCTCTGTGCTGGGAAGGAGAAACATCAAAGATACTCTTGCCCCAACACAACTTGCTTTGGATCGAAGCACGCCACTAGCACACAACACCGTGCTTGTGTCGGTGAAGGGCCACCACCCGAGCGGTCTCCAGACCCAGATCCATGGTTATTACAACTCTGATGGCAGGCACAAGGGCTGCCCACCGTCCAAGGCGGTGTGTTTTGGCCCCTGGTTCGTGGAGCCTCACTCACTCAGAGGGGTACGCTGTGTCGCCACCCACGTCACCGCACGGTCCTGCACACCCTGGAAGTCACGTAGCATCAGGGCACTTCTTCGAGGGTACCAGGATCCTTTTCAACCTTTAGCCACTATATATAATGGACACTACTTATATTATATCGTTATAATTTTATATATATTTATATATATATATATTATAATACTCTCTACTTAGAAAGGGCAAGCAAAGTGTCCTGCCTCTCACAACTTCCAAGCACGGCTCAGAGATGCCTGTGACTGAAACACCTTTTGCACCAAGACAAGCAGAAGTGTATGTCCTGCCAACCAAGTTCAGGTTAGTGTCTCCAGCACGTGTTTACGCTCTTCCACGGCATTATCCTGATGGGCACCATCAGTCTTTTTGCTCCCTCTGCCCATATAACCTGTCGTCATGCTGTTGCAGTGCTGAGAACTGTCTTTCAGATCTGCCATACTCCCATATCCCAGTTTCTCTGTAAATGTCTCCTGGACAGACAGCACCCATTGATGCATTTTTAGCAGCCCATCTTCTCAGCCAGCACACAAGAAAGCAGGCAGGACATTTGCAGATCCCAAAAAAAGCAAAAACTCTCAGCAGAGTGTTTGCGGCATCTCTCGATACCAGGTAGACTCAAAGACACTTTTGCTCCCAGCACGCACAAGACCCCACAAAGCTCAACTCTGGGCATACTCCTGAGCAAATCCAAACCATCCCTGCCACCCACACACATGCACACACAGACACAAGCACGGCAGCGGGCTGTTCCAGGAGTCCCCTCAAAAACTACAGCCCTGTGCAACTGGCCAGGACAGATCCTGCAGCAAACACACCAACAGGGAACCTATGCGTCGTGTCAGGCTGCTTCCAGAAATCCCCACAAATGTGGAAAAGTGTTGGGAAGTCTGCTTCTCCTCCCCCAACTCCAAGCACATTTATTTATTTTTTCTACATGTTTCCTCTGGTCTGGTCAGCTGGATCTTCTCTGCTTATGCTACTGGGGGTGTTTGAGCATCCCTGCGTGTCCTCGAGGCTCGGCAGAGCCCGTGCACCATGTTCCATGGCAGGGAACAGCAGGGCCATGCCTTTCCTGCCTTCTGGGGTTGTAACAGGGCACCTTGTCCTTCAGGGCCAGAGAAAGCTTAGATTGTCTGCTTTCAGCATCTCTGCTGACACCTGGAACAGGGAGCAAGCATTCTGGTTTTGGCTGGGATAGAGCTAATTTTCTTCATAGAGCCTCACACTGTGCTATGTTTTGGATTTGTGATGAAAACAGTGTTGGTAACACAACGATATTTTAGTTATTGCAGAGCAGTGCTACCACTGAAGGGCTTTTCAGCTTCTCGTGCTGCCCTGCCAGCGAGGACCCAGGACAGATGGCCCAAAGCAACCAGAGGGATATTCCATATCATATGGCATCATGCTGAACAATAAAACCGGGGAGGAAATAAGGAGGAGGAGGGGACAATCAGACCTATGGCATTTATCTTCTCAAGAAGCTATTCCATGTGATGGACCCTGCTTTCCTGGAGATGGCTGAACATCTGCCTGCCGAGGGGAAGTAGGGAATGAGTCCCTGGCCCTGCGGGGTTAACCCAAACCAGCAAGCCACCAAATCCTGGAGCACGTGCCGGTGCTCCCAGATCTGTGTGGATCCAGCTGCACCATCAGCCCAGCCCTGTCAAACAGCACGAGGAAAGGCTTTTATCTCCTGTGCTGGAAATCTTTCACTGACTTTCTGAAACCTGTGGGACCTCTCTGGTGGCTCTCCAACATGCGGCATGTGTCTTGCATGATGGGGAAATGACTGCACCACACCAGGGAGCTGTCACCTTGGTGTCAGCAGCATCCTGCCCGCTACTCGCGGTTGGGTCATGGTAGGAAGACCTCTTAGAAGACACGGAGGTTTCTCAGAAAACCTTTTTAATAATAAAAAGTCACCACATTCCTGTGAAAGATTTCGCTGGATAGTCAATTCACAACTAAAAGCTTGCCCAGTTTCTTCACCTGCCATTCTCAGCTACTCAGTCTTTCCTGCTTTCCTGTGCTAGATGGATTGAACAAATACAATGATTGTGCTTCATTGGCCTCCCACGATAAGGCAGGTTTGCTAATCCTATAAATAGTCCTACAGCACTCTTTCCAAGCTCTTTCAATGTCTTTTTGGCATGTATAAGACCTGGATGGAGCATCTGGTAATGGCTTCGCTGACAAAGTCTTACCATCTAAGCACTCCAAAATGAATGGTCTCTTGACAAAGCAATAGGAGTGTCATTACCATTTGTATTTCCAGAAAGAATCTGTAAGTTTGGGTTTATTCTGTTTTCTAGTTTCAAAACACGTGGGGCATATTTAGGACGTATTTGGACCAACACTTCAAACTCATGTGAAGGCATCGTGCCCCCAGAAGAAGTGGATGCACTCTCTGTCCTCTCCTTCCTCCACTTCTGGCAGAAGCGTTTGTGTGACCAAAGGCTAAACCTGACTGATGAATAGGTGAAAACTAAACCAGCAAACCAGAGTGCTTGTTGTCCTACTGGATCCATGTGCCCAGCCACTTCACCAAACAGCTGCCCCAGCGTAAGGTGGGACAGTGCAAAAAGCAGCTGGAACTTGGAGGGACCTCTGCTGTTGGTGGCAAAGGCAGCTCAGTCCATCAAACCACAACCTAGGTGTGGAGTTCCCAACGCTTCTCTTCAGAGATGAGAGCTGGGATGTGTTTTTAGCCTAGAAGCTATGCTTCTTACTCTACAAGGGCGAACAACTTTTAAGGAGAACAACAAACATTTTGAGCTGTATAACATAAATTCCTAGTGTTGCCAACACTGGAACTGTTGTGTAAAGAGGTAATTCCCATCACCTATTTCTAGGCATTTCCCTCTTCAGATGTTCAAGGAGTGCCCTGTTCTCCCAGCCACCCCATCACAGCTCTCACGCTCCATGCTTTCCAGAGCAGTTCCTGCAGATGTGAACAACTTCAGGATTCCTTGGACTTGATGGCCATGAATGTGGCTGTTTGCATGTGTGTTCAATGAATCAAGGTTATTACCATCCAGATTCCTCCATCGAGCTTTTTTGTCTGCAAATATTTACTGACGCTGCTAGTTGCAGCTGCAGGAATGGGTGGGCAGAACATCCACATTTTTGTTCTGCCTCATGCAAAGCCTCTTTTAGGCATGACAATGGAGTGAAGCCCAAAGTATTCGGGTCTGGAGTGTTTCCCCCTGTGCGGCGAGGGGAAAATTTTGTGACTACTTCAAGATCTCATCAGGCTCAGACAGGTATCAATCCTCCTGGCTTAAATTTTCAAACCTTCCTAATTAGTTGGGGGGCTAAAAAGTTGGTGCATAATTCTAAGTGAGAGCTAAGCTTCTGCTCTGATAAGATTATTTGAAGAGCACAGCCCTTGCTTTTGTATTCACATTGTTAGTTCTCACGCAACGTGTGGAAGAGCTGAGCACCGAGAAAGAGAAAGACATAAACCCGATCTCCCCGTTAGAAATGCACGAGATACCCACGGTGTACCAGCAAACCTCTCCTTGCAAAGCAGCAGCTTTTGAATATACTACAGGATAATTATTTCCCACCCTGCTGTGTAGGGGAACTTTCAACCACAGTGCCAAAATTCACAAACACCAAGAGCGTGAACAATAAAGCACAAGGAATTTCGGTGCAGAGGGCACCTGAGCTGAAGGCATCCAGTGACTATTCACATCTTCAGGATGGAGCTGTGTCTGGTGGACTACAGAACTGCGGCACCGACCACACTTTGAGAGGTTGAGAGGAACCACCCGTGTTGGGAGATGTGGTCTCCGCAGGTCACAGTTCGGTATTTGAGACAGAAGCAGCTGCAGTGTGCTCTCTTCCACATCAATTAGCAAGCGCTCTTGATTTCCCAGCAAGCTGCCAATACAGCCCTACTTCCACCTAAACACCTGCCACATGGGCATCTGCAGAAACAGACTGCCTCCTCTGTGGGACACCCTGGAGCAGGTAGGAGCATCCAGCAAGACCTGCCTGCCTCCCCCTCCTGCCTGCAGAGGCACCTCTGGGAAGGAGAGCAAAACCCCCTCCACCCCTCTCCTGCTCCTCTTCTCTCAGCTCACGACACATCCATCACCCTTGGCCGAGCTGGTGACAATCCTTCGCTTACACGGGTGGCAGGAGGTGAGCCAACACCCAGGTGCTGGCAGCCAAGGCTGGTGTTCTCCAGCAAAGAGAGAGGAGGGAGCTGCTTGCAGGACAGGAGCCTTCCTCCCCAGCAGGCCTTGCTCTCATCACCTCTGCTCCTCTTTCCGAAGCCAGGGTCGGTATTGGCGACTGGTATTGCTAACAGAGAGAGGGGAATGCCTAGGGAGAGGGGAGGGTTAGGCACTAGGCAGGCTGCCTGGGTGCTGCTTGGTGCTGTGCAGTAGCAAGCGTGAGCTGCGGACTGGATGTTTCCCTCGAAGAAGGCTCCGTGGCTCAGAGGCTCTCAGGCCCGTGGGAGCTGATCGCGACGGTGTGGGGGGAGAGTGAGTGAAGCATTGAAGTACAGCTACTGCTATACACTCGTGGTTCCGGCATGGAAGGCTGTGCTGCAGCATCTCAAGTGTATACTATATGCAGAAGTTACCCAGTCTGTCAGGTTGGCAGAGGATCATTATCTGGCAGCTGCCTTACTTTCCGGGGACACCTGCTTTCCTTTGGTTGCTGGACTCTGAGTCTGGGTTTTTCCTCTTTGACGTTTTTTGGCCACACCAGGAGAGGGCAGGGAGTCTCCTGTTGGCCCCGGGGCCTGAGCTTGGGGCTGAGGTCGGGGGGAAGGTGGAACTCGCTGAAGGGCAGTCCCTGGCTTATGCTGCCGGCAGGGAGAAGGACTTTCCCTCCGAGGCAGCAACTGGCTTCTGGGGGAAGCACTGGGGTTTTTTGAAGGAAGAACAGGGCTCCGAGGGGATGCACAACTGGACCTCCGTGAGCTGCTCCGTGGAGGAAGAGAAGTGGAACTTGGTGAAGGAGGAGGCCGACTTTGTGTCTGTGTTGTTCGGCCATCGTTTGGGACATTTCCAGCTGGTCTCTGTGCCTGAAGCCTGCAAGGAAAGAGAAGAGGGGGGGATGAAGAGGAATTTCTGTGAAAATCTCTGGGCAGCTAAATGCAATAGCCAGGTCAAGTGCTGCTACGGAGTCAAGGCCACGTTAAACATGCTGCAGAATTGAGAGCTCAATAAAGGAGGGATCTACTATTAGCAGCATCAGAGCAAATAAAAGAGCTCATGGAAGGGAAGAAGGCTTCACAGCCAGGGCAAGTGAAGAGGGGCTTGGTCTTTTGGCCAGACTCAGGCAGAGGTGGGAATGTTAGACATCAGTGAGCTGAAATGAAATGTAAGAAACAGGAACGGACCACTCATTCAGGCCAAGTGAAGAGTAAAGGAGTGGGAGGTGAGCAAATCCCCCACTGTGATTCCTTAACAAGTCCAATATCCTGCATTGTTGAGCATTTCAGGCTTACCTGTGGGCAACAGCAGCATCCTGTGGGGAGCTACACAGCACTGCCATCGCCACGGCTGTGGAGCTCTCAGACTTCATGGCCTCTAGCGGTGTTTTCACTGGCGTGATGGGCCGAGGAATTCTGCTCTTTGTGCTTATGAGTTTCTCTTCTTTCCCCAGGAGGCCAGCCTTCTCCTTCCCTGCCTTTCGTGGGATGGAGTCATCAGAGTCGTGGGTGTCCTCCTCAGAACCGGTGGCTGACAGGGTTTCTGAGGCCCGCCGCCTCTCGTCGCTGGAGGATGCTGAGGAGGACGCCCCCGAGGCCAGCCTGAGGAGGCGGTTTTGCCTCTTCTCCATCACGAGACGAGCCAAGTCAGGTTGCTTTGCCCTCTTATAAAGCCTCTCCTTGGCTGAGAGTGACGTTGAGAGATCTGAGCCAGTGTCCTCCTCAGAGAACAAAATGGGGATCCGGCTTCTATACCTAGAGCCCAGAGGCCTCCTGGGACCCTGCTGTGGTGTGTCCAGGAGGATCTCTGCTGGCTTAAGGTGTTCTGTTACTGACGCTGACTTCTCAAGCTCAGGCTCCTTCGTGACCACCTCGGCAGGCTCTTCCAAATCCAGAGAGAGTGCTACTTTGTCCAAGGACTCTGGCTTGTCCTCTGGAGGCTTTGCTATGCCGTTGGGAATGGTCTGCTGCTCTCCCACCGTCTCCGAGGCGATTTCAATGTGATTAGCCGAAAGTGCACAGCTCTCTGTCTCTGCCCCTTCTAGCCCCGAATGGATGCTTCCATTCTCTACCAGCACCAGGTTATCTTCCAGCTCCTCTTCAATAATCACCTCTTCAAACTGGCCCGGAGGACAGTACTCCTCGTGCCTCATCAGCTGGCCGCTGGAAGACATGACATTTAAGTGGGTCTTTTCAGCTATATGAACAAATGTGCGCTCAACTTTGGTAAACGGGGAAGAAGCTGTAGCCACTGCCACGGGAGGCTTTGGTTCGGATTTAAGGACTGAGGACAGGGTCCCTGGCTCAGATACATCTAGTTGGCTACCCATCGGCTGCGGCCGCTCGCTCTGAGGTGTCAGTGCGGCAAGAGTCCCCAGATCAACTTCTGGAGCCAAGTCTGTGGTCACCGGGGATTTTTTCAGATCACCTGGTGAAAACAGCACTAGTGTTTTTGAGCCTTCCTCCAGTTCCAGGTCCCCATCAGCCGTGGAAGCTCGACCCTTGGATCCCTTCTGGTCATCGGCCAGGAGTGTGGATGGTGCACACTCCTGGCTGCGCTCTGTGCTTTTTTGACTCAGGTCACTGCTGGAACCACTATGCATGTCAATCTCATCCCCTTCCTCCTCTGCCTCCTCCTCATCTTCTTCTTCCTCCTCGTCTTCTTCCTCGTCTTCTTCCTCCTCTTCTTTTCCATTCATTTCCAGATAAGGTTCCAGGGGTTTGCAAGGAGCAGTTAGGACAACATTTGAGAAATCAACTCTCTTTATCCGCTGGGATACCTTAGGCTTCTCCCAGTAGTCTGACACATCTTTTCTGAAGTCTTGGTAAGGCAAACTTAAAGGCACCGCCTTGGGCAGACCATTCATTTCAAATGACTTCAGTGTATATGCCTGCCAGAAAACACATAGGACAAAAGAAAAAGTTTAGTATTCAGACATATCACTGGCACAAACGTCATCAGCATCAACAACAGTGGGAAGCATCAGTGGAAAGCATCTAGACCATCGTGATTCCAAAAAACACATTGGAGCAGTGACAACTCAGTTATAAGATTAGTACCAACCTTAGGAAGGAGAGATTCACAAAGACACTTATCAACAAAGACAAAAGAAAACATGCCAAAGGAGTTTCTTTGTTAGCAGTCATTAACTTGGACTAGAAAGGCCTCTTTGCAAGCAGTTCTTCAGGATTTTTTCACGTCTCCCAGTCTTCCTCAGTACTTACCTATTAATTTCAGTACTTATATATTTATTTCAGTACTTATATATTCACTCCTTCCTTACTAGAACTATTCAGCAACTCTCTTTTATGCCCAGGCCACAGTAAGCTCAAGGACCCCCTCTGGGGTAGGTACATTTCCTGACCACTTCAGAGTACCATCCAACGTTGTCCCACAGCAACAACCTTTGTAGCTCTTCTGTGCTCCCCTGCTGTGCTTTCCATCTCTCCCTTCTGATTGCATTTTATGTCCAGTAACTTCTAATTCTGTCTTCTACAGGCATCTGTTTTCATTAAAATGACCAGCCAGTAAGTCACAAATGCTGACACAAAAAGTACCTTTATTAGGTTCTGGTGTGTCCAACCACTAAAAGCAATGGAGAACTGAACTGTTGGAGGAGACATGCGTTTTTCAAGTTGCAGTCTGTGGAGGGATGACTGCCCATAAGGCTACAGGAGAAGACTGTGAAATGTTTGAAAATAAAACGTAGAAAAGCAACAGTTCACTCACACTCTTGACTGAACAAGGAAAAGAAGGACAAAATAAATAGGAAGTGCCTATCCAAGTTTAGTCTAATTAACAATTGTTGTAAATGAAAATCGTAGTAGCAACACTCTGCAGAATGGATTTCTTTAAAGATATTTAGGTGACCTCTTTCCTCTAGAGAATTAGAAACCATCATATCTTTTTACTCCAATGCCACAACTTCAATTTGCACTGAAAATTCCTTGTTACATCTCTCCTAATAATTGTGCCTGAAAATGTAAGATCTCTATGCTCACATGGAACAGGGACATGTCAAATAGATTTGTGGACAGCTCTGAGCAATTATGCATGGTGATAGATTGTTCTTCCAAAATGAAGAGGCACTCATTATTCAGTACTCCTGGATTCATTTGTATTTTGGTTGTTTCCTCATTTTTCCTTAACCATTGACAAAGCCTACCTGCTGCCACCTTCATTTTTCTATCTATCCTATAAAATAAATCACAGGCTGGCTTTGGCAATGCCTTTGGAGTCCAAAGCTTATTCCCATCTCTCCTTAAAGCAGAAACCTTGCCCTGAGGATGGCCCTGTATTAAGCAGATTTGGGCTATTACTGATTCGCTCTACCTTTTCCATCAGGTTGGCAGATGTGGAGCTTTGACTATTTAGATGGACCTACCACCATTTGTGAAGGAAATATCCTACTAGGCTTCCTCCCTCTTTTTCTCTGAGGCACTTCCTGGAAATTAATCCATTTGGAGCCCAAGGTTGGATTTGTCCTGTTGGCTAGATTTGCTCTTCTCGAGAAATACACCCACTGTACAAATCTGCTTATCCCTGGAGTCCTGGTCAAGCAGGCGTGCTTCCCCAGCTTTGGGACTGGACCCAAAGAAGCTGTAACCAACGTCTTGCTTTGTGCTGAGCTTCCCACTGGAAAGGATGCTCCGACACCAACAGCAGGTCACTCACTGCTCTACTTCACCCTGCTGTGGTTGATGGTACACTTGGGGGATCCTATGAACTTTTGATATTCATTTTGTTCTCTGCTTGTAGCTAATATCTCAGCAGCCTTCTGGGAACAGGGAACATCAGCACACCCAGTGTGCACACAGTTGGCATACTGTTTTAGTATCCTCTGTCCTGTCTCCAGCAACCACTCTTTCTTCAACCATTCTTTCTTTTGCAAGACATCAGAAGTTCTTCTGAGGATAATTTATATATATATATAAAATACAGCGAACCAAGCAAAAAGGTATGACCCTGAGCTGAATAGCACAACATTGCTGTAATATAAATTACAGGTTCTTGCCCTCTTCTGCTCTGGTTATCCTTTGCTATTGTTGAGTCATGCTGCAGATACTTTACCAACCTCCACATATTTCCACCTCTGCCTGTACAAATTCCTTGTGGTATTCAGCAAATGGACTGACTGCCTTTCTGTCTGTCATTTCATTTTCTCTGTGTATTTTCTATTGCCCTGCTTGGACACTGCAGTGATACAACATTGATTGTTTGTCTTCTGCTTACCTTTGGCAGACTTGGACTATTTAACCTATCACATGCACTACCCAAAGACTGGCAAAATTCATTCCTCAAAGCATCCTGAGGCTGTGGTTATTTTGTCACTGCAAACCCATCATGGAGAAAATCCAAAGAGCATAAATATGCCAAAAACGGAAGACAAAAGTTATTAACAACCCCAAGTAAAAGAGATGTTGAAATGAGTCTTGGGTCAAATATTACTTTAACACATATTTTCTCACCTCCACTACTATCACCATCTGAAGCTGTTAACAAGGAAGACAGTCCCAGGGAGTCAAAGTCTGAGACTGTGTTCACTGTTGAGTGAATGTGATCAGCAGCTACCTGCAAGTAGCCATGCTGCTGAACAGGCTGTTCCTACTCTGAAGCCCTCAGCAGAGAAGGTTGTGTCCTCTCTTGACATACATCACGTGTCTTTGTTGCTACTGCACGCTCACTTGCTCTAGGACTGTTCCTCAGGGGCTGGAGGACATCCTTTCTGCTCTGCTGTACCAATGGGGAGGACTTGTCGGAGGATACTGGAAGGTCAGGACTAGAGAGGCTTAGCTCATGTCTCAAATTTGTAGAATAACAAAGATGTATGGAATATCTGAAGGTCTCTGCTCCGATCACACCTCAAAGAAAGACCAACTTAGGTTGCTCTGGGCCTTTTCCAGCTGAATTCTGAGTATCTCCAAGGATAGAGATCCCACAGTCACTTTGTGACCCTGTCCAAGTGTTTGACAATCTTCAGGGTGATTTTTTTTTTCTTTACATCTAATCCTATATCTAATTTTCCTTTTCGTTCAATTTTTGTCCAGTGTATCATGACCTTTCACTGTGCACCTCTGAGAAGAATCTAGCATCATCCTCTCATCGGGTAGTTCAAGAAAAATAAGATCCTGCCCCAATTCTTCTCCTTTTAAGGCCAAATAAATGCAGCTCTCTCAGCCTCTCCTCATATGTCCTACCTCTCTGATTCCTAACCATGCTGGTGGCTCTCTGCTAGGCTCACTCCACTGTGTCAAGATCTTTTACTGGGGAGCCCCAGCCTGGATACTGTACTCTAGATCAGATTTCACAAATGCCTAATAGAGAGAAATAATTGCTTCCCTCACCCTACTGGTGCTCATGAAGATGTTCTGCAGAGTTGCCACCAGCCAGGACTGTCCTGTTGGATGGGGTCCCTCAAGGTGGAGGGCTTTGTTCTCCACAGGTCCCTACTTGAAAGAACTGGTGGGCTCACCAGCTTAAGAAAGAACAGGAACTATGCCATGAGCTGAGGTAGCTACTCCATTTAAAAAAGCTACTGAAACTGTGAATGAGCAAAGCTATGCTGGAGCTGGCTCTAGCTGGGTCAAAAGGCCTTGCTTTGCTCCAGCACACTCTGATCTCTGCTTATGCTGCTCACTTTTTCAGAAGACGTATTGACTGTCCTTGGACAGTCAACTGTTTTTTCCCAACTCCTTGGGCTAAGATCTCAAATCCCAACTTTCTCATAACTTGTCAGTTGTTCAGGAGTGCATACAGCAGTATGTGGATGTATCCAAGTGTGTGTTCCCCACAAAGTCTGCACATTTCACCTCTTAAACACTCTTGTCTCTCCATCAAACCTTACTGCATGTAAATTCAATGTGGCTGGTTATTTTGGGTAGCAATACGTATTTGGGAGGTAGCAAATATCCCTGCTTTGCACAGAGGACACTTAAAATATAGAGGGGAGGTCTCTCTTTTTCAGGAGAGAAAAAGACCTACCTGCTGGCATTTGGCAGAGGCAGGACCAGCCCCTTGAAGACCATCTCTCCCTGTGCTCATGAATACCCAGGCAGACTCCGGGACTTTGTGTTTACTGTAAACAGGTAGGGTACCAAATTTGCAGGATGACTGGCACTGGGAAAGCCTCAGAGGAGGCTGCCATCACCCCATACAGGCTGCAAAGTTCCTACAGCCTGGTGATGTTGCAAATACTGCAAAAATCGGCAAAGATGCAGTTTCCCCTTTGTGACTGGGAATGTAGCCAGATGTCCTTCTCAGGACAGAAGCATGGAGAGGACTCATACCAATGTGTTCAGAAGCAGTACTGGTATCCAGGTCATTAATATGCTCTCATAACCATCCTGTCCCATTTCAAGGCACGCACACACTCTGTGCAGGTCCCTACAACAATGAAGAGTGATGACAGTGCCTGTTCTACCTGTGTTACCTTCTGGTGATCTCAGGAATCATGAGGGCATGGAGAAAAGACCCCATAACTTGCCTGTGCATATGTCTCCACACTGTGGCAGTCCCTGTCATGGCACAGAGTGGGTCCAGTGTCCATGGGAAAGAAAAAAATCGACAAACAAAACCAAAAACCTGCTTGCCTGAGCACATCTGCATTGATGTGGGGGAGAGGGAACATTTTCCTCTGGGAGCCTCATCAAGTTTCCATCAGACTGTAGGATGGGTGGCAGGGGGGCTTGCTACCCCCCTTCCATCTCTTGTTTTTAGACAGTTTAAGTGGAATAATTTGTGAAAGAAACAGATAGAGGAAAAATGTTGCTGTGATATGACTGGATGCAAACCAGTGAAATTAGTGCTAGCCTACAGTTACATAAATAGAAGCCACAATGTGGCCTTCCCAAATGTGGCCTTCTCCAACAGTCACAAGACCTCGTTTCCACT